TGTTTGATTTCTTGACTGCTGCCTCCATGGGCATTGATGGTGAATCCAAGTAAAATGAAATCCTTGACAACTTCAGTCTTTTCTCTGCTTATCATAATGTTGCTTAGTGGTCCAGTTGTGAGGATTTTTGTTTTCTTTATGTTGAGGCGTTATCCATACTGAAGGCTATATAGTCTTTGGTCTTCATCAGTAAGTGCTTCAAGTCCTCTTCACTTTCAGCAAGCAAGGTCGTGTCATCTGCATAACGCAGGTTGTTAATGAATCTTCTTCCAATCCTGATGCCACGTTCTTCATATAGTCCAGCTTTTCGGATTATTTGCTCAACATGCAGACTGAATAAGTATGGTGAAAGGATATAACCCTGATGCATACCTTTCCTGATTTTAAACCATGCGGTATCCCCTTGATCTGTTTGAACGACTGCCTCTTGGTCTATATACAGGTTATGCGTGAGCACAATTAAGTGTTCTGGAATTCCTATTCTTCGCAATATTATCCATAATTTTTTATGATCCAGAGCATTGAATGCCTTTGCATAGTCTATAAAACACAGGTAAACATCTTTTTGGTAGTAGTAGCTTTTCTTTAGACAGTAGTCACTTTTTTTTGTTTATGGTGATGGGAAAGGTGGCACTGAATGTGGGTGAAGGTTGCACAGTTTAACTAATGTAATTGATGTCACCAAGCTTACATAGCTGTTATATCACCTTTGTTGCTTTGTTGGCTTTTTTTTCTTCCTCTCCTCCTTTGTCAGCTCTTTTCTCTCCTTCTTCATCCTGCACGCTGGCGTAAACTGCTTTGTTATAGTCTTCCTGGTTCCGAGCAATTTCAATGGCAAAAAACTGTATTCTGGGGCAAAGATGGTATTTTCCTCAGTGTAGCCCTGAGAGCAATCTAGTCGCAGCAAAGTACCATAGTTGAAGTCTTCTATAATTCCATCAAACTTCAAGCAGAATGGTCTCCACTTCTCTTTAGCTGATTCTGATTTGAGCTCTTCTGGGTCCAATACTTCTATTCTGAGCTTCTCAAAATTTTCCTGAAACTCCAAGTAGATTTGGCTATCCACTTTGGTGAGTTTCGGGAACTGTGGGGTCAACTAATGAAATCAACTTGTAGTAGACTTCAGCATGCTGCATTGCTTTCACGAGCCAAGCCATCTCAATATCAGGCAGCTCGTCACTTGCACTAGTCGCCTCTGTCTCTGAGCCCAAAAGAGTGTCTTTAGATTTCCTTACTGCTGCTTCCATGGGTGTTGATTGTGGATCCAAGTAAAATGAAATTCTTGACGACTTCAATCTTTTCTCCGTTTATCAGGATGTTGCTTATTGGTCCAGTTGTGAGGACTTTTGTTTTCTTTATGCTGAGGTGTGATCCATACTGAAGGCTGTGGTCTTTGGTCTTCATCAGTAAGTGCTTCAAGTCCTCTTCACTTTCAGCAAGCGAGGTTGTGTCACCTGTGTAATGCAGGTTGTTAATGAGTCTTCCTCCAATCCTGATGCCCTGTTCTTCTTCATAGAGTCCAGCTTTTCGGATTATTTGCTCAGCATACAGATTGAATAGGTGTGGTGAAAGGATACAGCCCTACTCCCTTTATTCACATGCATACGGGGTCATGCTGTAAAATGGGAGTTATGGTCAGAAAAGTTTGGGGCCACTTTTCTAGTCTAAGTCTCTCATTTTGCAGACAGGTAAAACTGAGGCCTAGAGAGAACAGATTCACCCGAGGTTCACAGCTAGGCTGAGTCAGAGAGGACTGGAATCCAGGCTTTTTATTTCCCAGGTCTTAACCTTCTCTCCCTTGCCTTGATCACACCCACTCTGGGGAAATAAGCAGGAATCAGTATCCACCCCCAGATATTTATCCCTTTCTCAGATATCCCAACTACTACTGCAGAGTTTGCGGACGAATGCCTGGGGGAAGCTTTGGAAGCAAAAGTTGAGACCAGCTGCAATAAGAGGGACACAGGTCCCTCTCAGGAAGAACTTCCCATAAAGTTAATCCTATTAGCTAAAGTCTATTGCATACTCTCACATCCATCTGTCAGTTTGTCCTACTGTGCATGACAGTGTATGTTGCTCTGATGTTGGAAGCTATGCCAACAGTATTTCAGATACCAGCCGGGTCATCCATGGTGAACAGGTTCCAGCTGAGCTTGCAGACTAAGATGGACTAGGAAGAAAGGCCTGGCAATCTACTTCCAAAAATTAGCCAATGAAAACCCTATGGATTACATCAGAGTATTGTCTGATACAGTGCTAGAAGATGAGCCCCCTAGGTTGGAAGGCGCTCAGGATACACAGTAGCCATAACAGTTTACTGGAGCGTCCCGGGGATCGTGAAGATGGTGCAAGAGTGGACAGTGTTTCGTTCTGTTGTACGCGGGGTCACCACGAGTCGGAGCCAACTCGGCAGCTGACAACATCGCGCACTCACCGTGTACCAGGCACTGTTCTGAGTCTCTCACATGGGCTGTTGTTTCATTTAATCTTCACAAGACGGTGATGAGGGAGATACAGTGAAACCTGTGAGAGCCAGAACTCAATGGGACTGTCTCGTTCTTCCATGTCTTGCAAGTTTTCCACCTTTGACAGGTTGTTGTTGTTGCTAGGTGCCGTCGAATTGGTTCCGACTCATAGCGACCCTGTGTACAACAGAAGGAAACACTGCCCAGTCCCGCATCATCCTCACAATCGTTGTTATGCTTGAGCCCATTGTTGCAGCCGCTATGTCAGTCCATCCGGTTGAGGGTCTTCCTCTTTTTTGCTGACCCTCTACTTTCCCAAGCATGATGTCCTTCTCCAGGGATTAATCCCTCCTGATGACATGTCCAAAGTATGTGAGACGAAGTCTCGCCATCCTGGCTTCTAAGGAGCATTCTGGTTGTACTTCTTTCGAGACATCTGTTCGTTCTGGCAGTCCATGATATATTCGGTATTCTTTGCCAACACCGTAATTCAAAGTCATCAGTTCTTCTTCAGTCTTCCTTATTCATTGTCTAGCTTTCACATGCATATGGGGTGATGGAAAACACCATGGCTTGGGTCAGGCGCACTTGAGTCTTCAAGGTGGCGTCTTTGCTTTTTAACACTTTAAAGAGATCTTTGGCAGCAGATTTGCCCAATGCGATGCACTGTTTGGTTTCTTGTCTGCTGCTTCCGTGAGTGTTGATGGTGGATCTCTCCGTTTAGTGGGAAATATTTGAGTTTTCCTTCGCTGACAGGTTTCTGCCTTACACGGGCTCCGGATTTCACAGGTTTTACTGTACGATCGTTATCCCTGTTTTACAGATGAGGAAGTAGAGGCAGAAAGGTGGAGCGAGAGCTCAGAGAATTACTGCCCACAAATGGCGGGCCAGGCTGGGAGTGGGACAGGGCACTCCAGCCATCTGGCTCCGTACCCACCCTAATAAGTGCCCGCGTTGGGCCCCAGAAGCAGGGACGGTGTGGGTGAGGCCTGCCGTGCTGTCTCCCCAGGTGATACCTCTGTCCTCGCGGGTGTGTACGGGCCAGCCGAGGTGAAGGTCAGCAAGGAGATCTTCAACAAGGCCACACTGGAAGTGCTTCTGAGGCCGAAGACTGGGCTGCCAGGTGACTGGGCCCAGCGGGACCTCTGAACAGCCCCCGCCCGCCTCCTCTGCTGCCCCCCAGCTCCACTGCCCTGTCTTCTCCCTGGAGCAACTTCTGTCTCTTTCTCCAGCTCTGTCTCTGGTCTCAGCCTCTGCACTTTTTTCTCTTCGCCTCCCCGTTTTTCTCTCTCCATCCCCCTGCTCCTACTCTTGCCTGGTACCATCTCTTCTTCCTCCCATTGCCCTGCTTCTTCTCTCCCCTTCGCCTCTGTCCCCCTCACACGGGCTGGGCCCACTGGAATGGGAGTGGCTACAGCAGGAGACGCAGGAAACCGCAGATTTCCTCCCCTGGACGACTCCCTCAGTGGACCCAGAGATAGCAGGGGTGGGCGGATGGCAGTCAGGTCTCCTTCCCACATGGAATCCTCCACCAGCGGTGCGGGGTCCTGCAGTGTCCCTGGCTGGGGCTGCAGGCCCTTTCCAGAAGGCTCAACAGGTGTGGAGGAAGGTGAGCGTGTTGCAGGGAAGCGCCTCACCCCGGCCCTGCACTCCCCCAGGTGTCGCGGAGAAGAGCCGGGAGCGGCTGATCAGAAACACATGCGAGGCGGTGGTTCTGGGGGCACTGCACCCCCGCACCTCCATCACCGTGGTGTTGCAGGTTGTCAGTGATGCTGGCTCCGTATCCTTTCCCCTGGGCCGTCTCCTCCAGGAAGCCCTCCAGAATCTCCCCACTTGTGTCCCTTGCCGATACACATGTCCACTCCCTCTGCTAGCCAGAAAACCTCCAAATGCCCGATACACACCAACTCACTGAAGAAAAACAGCAAACAGAGGTGCGCCAGGCCCTGTTCTGAGTGCGTCACACATATGAACTCAGTTAATCCTCACGGCAGCCCTGTGAAATAGATGGCATGATTATCCCTGTTTTCCAGACGAGTAGACTGAGGCACAGCAGAGTCACATAGCTGTGAAGTGGTAGAGCCAGGACTTGAGCTCAAGGACCCTGGCAGATGGGCGTTCTCAGGTTCCCATGTTTCAGATGAAGAGAGTGAGGCCCAGAGAGGGGAAGTTGCTTGCCCAGGGTCACACAGCTGAAAGGCAGTGGAGGCAGAACTCAAGCGCAGGCCTGTCCGACTCTGGTGCCTGTGCCATTGACCTTGATTTTGCACTTAACTTGGGTTTGAGGCTCCAAACGCTGGGGAGGCCTGAGCAGGCAGAGCACTTGGAGCAAGAACTTGGCCTGGAAAGATCCCTACAGTTTGGGAAGAGAGGTTAAGAGCGAGGACCAGAAATTGGCAATTCTCAAGGAGCCCCATTGGTGCGTGGCCTTGCGTTGGGCAGGCCCTTTCTAGGTGGGAGGGAGAGAAGAGCTGTGTGACCCCCATTTTACAGAGAGAAAAACTGGAGCTCAGAGGGGATGTGACAGTGGGTCAGAGGCAGAGCTGGGACTAACAGATTCTAAAGCTGGGATTCTTATCTGTGCTAGACATGGGGAAGAAAGACAGATGAGGAAACTGAGGCAGAGCTTGCTGCCTGACTCCAGGCCTTCCTGTGTGCCGTGGCCGCGCCCCTGCCCTGGACTGTGACTTCCCCGGGGACAAGAATAATGGCTCTTCCTCCATTACCCTGCCAGCTCCGTCATCTGGTATTGGCCGCCTGCTGCATCCCCAAGTTCTAGATCTGACTTTGCCGGTTCCTCCCAACAAGGCCTTGGAAGGTTTCTTCTCCTCTCTGGTCCTCAGTACCCTGAAGATGCTGGGCACATAACTTTTGTACCTATTTGTTTGAATATCATTATGATTCCCATTTAACAGAGGAGGAAATTGAGGCTTAAAAAACAAAACCCTCTTGTCGAGTCGATTCCAACTCATAGTGACCCTGTAGGACAGAGTAGAACTACCCCATAGAGTTTCCAAGGCTGTAATCTTTACAGAAGCAGACTGCCACATCTTCCTCCTGCAGAGCGGCTGGTGGGTTCAAACTGCTGACCTTTCGGTTAGCAGCTGAGGGCTTAATCACTGCACTACCAGCGCTCCTAATTGAGGCTTCGGGAGGGTAAGTAACTTGCTCAAGGTTGCACAGCTGAGAAGTGGCAAAGCAGGGTCTGGAACCGAGGGTCATTTGATCCCATAACTCATACTTTTTTTTTTTTTTTTTTTAATACACATTTTTATTATTGAGATTGAACATTTTTGATGGTTACCATTTACATTTCTACTTTTTCAAATTATCTGTTTGGCCCTTCATTCGTTTTTCCATTGTGATGTTACTCCTTTTCATACTAAATTACTACAACTCAGTATAGAAGCATATAACTCATAACATCTAGAAATTTTTTATTTTTATGTTGTCAAATCAATCAGCTTTTTCCTTTGTGATTTTTCCACTACTTCTATGCTTAGAAAATCCTTCCCCATTCCAGCACTCAGTACTTTTAACCACTCTGCCATACTGCCTTTCTGTGATCGGTTAGTGATGTCTGCCACAGGCACCAGCAGGGTGCATGGAGGCAGGCATATATTCTACTGGCCGGCCCTACAGTAGAAACTTTTCTTAACCACTCACCGTGGACCTCAGCTTCTGGCCTGTTGCCTGAATGCTGCGTGCATGGCACTGGTGGATGCAGGTGTGCCCATGCGGGCCCTCTTCTGTGGGGTTACCTGTGCCCTGGACTCTGATGGGAATCTTGTGCTGGACCCCACACTAAAGCAAGAAAAGGTAGGTGAAGGCCAGGGTGGCTGAAGGGCTATGGCAGACAGCTTTCCCTCTACTCTTCCTCTAGGCCTCACTTCTCTCCAAAATAGTTGGCTTGTGCCACCTCGTCCCAGTTGGCAAGCTCTGTTACATTCATCAGGTCCCACTCAACTGCAGGTGCTAGAAACCCAACTCCAACTACCTTAAGCAAAAGGGGATTTATTGGCATTTATTATCAAACTCAGAACAGGGGAGTTGCTAGAACCAGGACCTCAAACACCTTTAGAATTTCCTTGCTTCATTTCTCATCCCTGCTTTTTTCTGCACATCAGCTTCATTTTCTCTGGCCAGCATCTTTCTTGAGGTTAGAACTGGCTTTTTGAGCTCCAGCTTCCATCTTAAGAGGCTCAAAAGCAAAGGGGAAGAGAAGCGAGCGTTTCCCATCAGCTCAAGTTCACAGTGTCCTAGGGATCTGGTTGCTCTGAGCGATTTGTCCAGTGCTCTGACAGTCACATCCAGTCAGTAAAACAGAAACCACTCAGGGTATCTCAGGCAGAGGGAATTTAATGCAGGGACTTCGTTACAACAGTGTTGGAAGAGCTGGAGGAGCAAAAAGGAAGAAGGGGCGATGTCCAGAGATTAAAGTGGCACTGGGCTGAAGCCTGCAAGCCAACTCCTGCTCTGTGCTGTTGGAGACATGGTCACAGTCAGCTCTGGATGACAAAAGATATCCTGCCTCTGCCCTGACTGCTGAAGTCTAGAACCCACCCACCTCCGCAGCTGCTATGGCAGCTGCCACACCATAAGCACCGGCCACTGTGAGGACCAGGATGCTTCTCTCTCCCTCCTTCTAGGCTCCCACCTAATCAATCAGCTTTTTCCTTTGTGATTTTTCCGGTATGTGTATGGTTAGAAAATCTTTCCCATTCCAGAACTCATACTTTCAACCAGTCTGCCATACTGCCTTTCTATGATTGATTAGTGATGTCTGCCACAGACACCGTCAGGGTGCGTGGAGGCATGACTATATTCTGCTGGCCAGCCCTGCAGTAGAAACTCTTCTTAACCAAATCTGGGAAATACAGTTTGCTGACATCTATCCCTCGCAGTACAGACCATAGAAGGGCAGGTGGGAGGCTGAGGAGCACCCGGTAAATGACTGGCACCGTGGCCACCCCAATGGGGCAGGAAGACTGTGCTTGGAAATCCCCATCAGAACCAGGTGGTTAGAATGAGGAGCACGGGGGGCAGTTCTACAGAAGGAACGGAGAGAGCCGTTAGCGACAGAAGCAGGGAAGGGGTGGTGTGTAGACAAGAAATAACTACACTTGATATATGGGCACTTGGCTGTGGGAAAGGTGAGATCTTGAGGCTGAGGCTCTGCGGCCTCCTCTCTGAGTCTGATTTTTCTGAGGGAGAGTCCCGGGTCACTCACCACCTTCTATCCCGTCCCTAGGAGGCGCGGGCAGTCCTGACCTTTGCCCTGGACAGTGTGGAACGGAAGCTGCTAATGTCCACCACAAAGGGACTGTACTCCAATGCTGAGGTACCAGCATGGGTGGGCGGGGGAGCCAGAATCTTCCCTCCCACCCCGACGTGAGGTCTTGTCCCAGCTCTGCCCTGGACACTGGGAGGTTTAAGGAGACCCCCTTCTTTGTATCCCTGTCTGTAAAGAGAGGGCATTTTCAAACTTTCTAACTACAGAAACCTTTGTGGAAGAATGGAATCTTAAAGGGAAGCCCAGTTTATGAGATAGGAGAAAGGAGGAGTAGCTCAGTTTGAAATCAGAAGATGGGGGGCATACGAAGGCTCCCCAGCTTCCAGTCAGAGTGGTACGCCACCTCGAGATCCTGAGTCTCCAAGGAACAGAGTTCAGAAAGTGTTAGGCCAACTAGTCTCCAAGAGCATTTCCAACCTGGACCTCCTGTGAACCTAGGAATATGTGGCAGTAAAGATTTGGGGGATCTCTGAGACCATGGCTCTAAAATTCCAGGGTCTCTCAAATTTGGTGAGCTCTATGGGTCATTGGCTCCAAGAGATTGGGGTCTCAAAGCTACTGGGATGTCTAATTCCGTTGGTCTAAAGTCCTGTAGCTTCCAGAATCTGATTGCAGAAGCCTGTACCATCTTTTTTCCTCCCCTCTTCCCCTCAAAAAGCTGAGGAAGGAGGAAATGAGGGGAAAAAAAAAATTGCTGTCAAGTCAGCTCCAACTCACAGTGACCCCATGGATGTCAAAGTTGAACTGTGCTTCCTGAGGTTTTTAATGGGTGGTTTTTTGGAAGTAGACCACCAAGCCTTTCTTCCGAGGCACCTCTGGGCATTCAAACCTCCGATCTTGGTTAGCAGCCAAACATGTTAACTGCATGTGCCACCCAGGGACTCTGAAAATTAGGAAATGCACTTGAAATCCCCTCCCCCGCCTACATCACCTGGGGGAGGTGGTAGGTTTGGGGGCTCTGAGAATCAGGTAAGGTTGGGGGGCCTCTTGGGTCCGGGATGGGCCCCCAGTGCTGACCAGTCTCTCCCACTCCCAGCTCCAGCAGTGTCTGGCTGCAGCCCAGGCTGCCTCGCAACATGTCTTCCACTTCTACCGGGAATCCCTCCAGAGGCGTTACTCCAAGAGCTGAGGCAGGCAGGCCAGGGCCCTCCTGCTGCCACTACCCACAACCTCCCGTGTGAAATAAACCGTCCACCCTGCCTGGCCTCTCTGTCGTGTGCTTTTGTGAGGCGATGGTCCCATAGATGCGGGCGTTCTTGCAGGGTAGGGGGACAGAGCCCGGCCCCCGATATGTCGAGACAGCCTGGGTACAGCCCCCAGGCCTTGGAAGCAGGGCGCACTGACCCTTGAAGGATCACCTTGATAAGAGCTCACGCTTAGTGGATGAATGAATCAGTACGCATTCATCCCAACAAATAGCTGTTGAGCACCTACTTCGGGCAGGCCTTCTTAGGACCTAGGTCCCAAATTCAGGGAGTAGTGGAGAGACAGACAAATAAAATCGGTCTTTATCAGACAGGGGTGAATGCTATGAGAAAATGAAAAGTGGGGAAGCAGGGTATGGAAGAGCTGGTGTGGGGAGTGCAGGCTTAATGCATGGGTCAGGGAGCCTTCACAGAGAAGCCTGGGAGGAGGGAAGGAGCGAGCACATGGACACATGGCGGGAAGAAGAACTTCCAGGCCGGAGGGGAGTGAGCAAGGGCAGGGGGCAGTGGGGAACAGGGCACCTCAGGGAAGAATCTGGTTCCAGGTGTTTCCCCAGTGCTCCCCATGAGGTAGAGCTGTTATTACAGCCCGTTTCACAGATGAGCAAGCTCAGAAGCCAGTTGGCTGCCCAAGGTCACCAGCTAGTCAGCAGCGAGGCCCAGGTTCTCCTCAGACAGTCCTGTTCCAGAGCCCTCACGGTTCAGGTTCAAACAGACAGAACCCAGGGAGGTGGCCGTACCCACACACTCAGGGCTGTGGTTCCCCATCTGAACAGAAGGGGTTGCTACTCTTAGTTCTCAAGCAAGGTGGAAGCACTCCTGAACGGCATTTGGGAAGGGGGGGTGCAGCTTTAGTTGCCATTTGCCAACCCCCCACCCAGGCTTTTAGCGGGCATCCTTCAGGGAGTGACTGTCCCACAACTGGGCCTCATGATCACAGGAACCCATAGGGACCTGACTCTGGTGGGGAGGGGTTTATGCTATCACCCATCTGTCTGTTTTACTGTGGTGGCTTGCATGTTGCTGTGATGCTGGAAGCTATGACAGACAGGTTTAGCAGAGCTTCCAGGCAGTGACTAGGAAGAAAGACCTGGAAACCTGCTTCTGAACATTCACCAGTGAAAACCTTGTGGATCACAACAGAACACTGACTTGCTTTGGATGCACATCATCTGGAGGGATCAATCGTTGGAGAAGGACATCTCACCCTTGGTGAGGTGGTGTCTTAGGCTGGGTTCTCTAGAGAAGCAAAACCAGTGAAAAAACCCTCTGCTGTCAAGTCGATTCTGACTCATAATGACCCTATGGGACAGAGCAGAGCTGCCCCATAGGGTTTCCAAGGCTGTAACCTTTACCGAAGCAGACTGCCACATCTTTCTCCTGCAGAGCGGCTAGCAGGTTCAAACCGCTAACCTTTCAGTTAGCAGCCAAGCTCTTAAACCACTGTGCCACCAGAACTCCTTGAGCTGGAGGAGGTTATTTTGGGGTGGGGCAGAGTTAGGTGCCAATGAAGCCTGTGTGTGTATATATAGAGAGAGATTGGTATCAAGGAAATCGTTCCCATGGTTGTAGAGGCTGGAACGTCCCAAGTCCATGGGTCAGGCTCGAGGCTTCTGACTCAAGCAGCTGCCGGGGCCAAGGAACCCAAGGTCGCAGGTCAGACAGCAGGTCGCTGGCTCACAGGCTGCGGAGGCTGATGAATCCCAAGATAGGCAGGTAAGCTGCTAGCTCAAGTCCCAAGAACCAGAGATCAGATGATGAGCCAGATGCAGGATCCAGAGCAGAGCAAAAGCTAGCGAGCTTTGCCAGAAAGTCCACATATATTGGATGCAGGCCACACCCCCAAGGAAACTCCCTTTCAACTGACTGGCTACTCATAGCAGATCCATCATGGAGGTGATTACATTATACTGGATTTCATTATGGAGGTGATTACACCATTACATAGCTGCCAAACCGCTGAGAGTCGTGGCCCAGCCAAGTTAGCACACACCCTTAACCATCACAGATGGATTGGCACCACAGCTGCAGTGATGGACTGGAATGTGCCAGAGATGGTGAAGATGACCCAGGACCAGGAAGTGTTTTGTTCTGTTAGACATAGGGTCGCCAAGAGTAGGAGTTGACTGATGGCAGCTATCTGTCTCTGATGAAAACACATCTGTCAGGCTGTCTGCTGCAGGCTTCACATGTTTGAAGTACTTCACAGAATCCCCACGATTGCCTCAGTGGGTGGCCTCTTCACACTGCCCTGTAACCGAGAAGGAAACTCATAAATCTCTTGAGCTTGAAATTATGCCCCATGAGACAACTGGGGAAAGGCCAAGTGAACAATAGTGTTTTCTGCTAGCAAGATCCATTGGAATGTCATTAATCTGAGTGAGAAAAGCTAAGCACTTATCACTTTATCATGGATAATGTTAGTTACCATTGAGTCGGCCCCCAACTCACAACCACCCCATACAGAACGCAGCAAAATGCCACCCAGTCCTGCAGCAGCCCCCTTGCCTGCTGGGGATTGGACTGTTGTGATCCATAGGGTTTTCACTGGCTGATTTTCAGAAGTAGCTCACCAGGCCTTCCTCCCCAGTCTGTCTGAGTCTGGAAGCTCTGCAAAAACCTGTTCAGCATCATAGCAACACGCAAGCCTCCACTGACAGAAAATTGGTGGCTATGCATGAAGTGCGCTGGCCCAGAATCGAGCTCAGGTCTCCCTCATGGAAGGCAAAAATTTTACCACTGAATCACCAGTGTTCTCATTCATAGAGCACTTCCTCCGTGCCTCTGTGAAGTGCTTGTAGCAGACATCTGTGGGACCTGCCCAGCTTGGCCCCCTGCCCCTTTTCTGTTCCAGCACTTTGATGTTTCCTTACAGACCCACTGCTCTCGCAGTCAATTCAGATGGGGTTGCCCCCTACCCCAGGCCAGGCCAATGAGAGTCAGCCTGGGAGAGAGGACCTCTCTGAGGCACTAAAGTTGCCTGAGCTGCTGGGGCCATTTCCCTCCCAAAAGGGGTGAGCCTGACACAGAATGAGCCAACAGAGGGAAAGACAGAGCAAGAGAGCATAAACATCATTTGGACCCCCGGATCAAGCCATGCCTGAAGCCATTGCTACCTCAACTTTCTCATTCCCCCTTTGCTGCAGTGTGAGTTGAGTGTCTGCCATGGGTTATCAAAAGAGCCCAGAGGGAGACAGCTGTTTACCCATGTGACATCATTTAATCCTAACTACAGCCCTGCAGTGTGGAGAAAATTAGTCCCATTTTGCCGATGAGAAAAAGTAAGGCTCAAAGAGGCAGTTCACTTGTGCCAAAGTTGGACAGCTAGCAAGTGGAGTAAGGACCTGGAAGCCAGCTCTCTGACTTTCTACTCTTAACTGATACTAGACCACCCACGTTGTGACGAGAACATCCTGCACTTTGGCATTGGCCCTGCTGGCTGCAGCTTCTCTGGTTTGGCGGTGTCGAAGAGCACCCTGGGGATGCCCACAACAGGCTCTCGTCCTGGCCGGTCCCTTCCGGGTCTCGGGTGCCCCCTGGCCCCCCCCCCCGCCCCACACGGACAGACACAGGTTTGGCTGCAAAGGTGTTTGGTGTTTAATCTCACATTGCCAGTGAGCGATGACCAGGAAGGGGAAGTGGGTGTCCAACTCGCTCCAGTTTCTGGCTGCTTCCGCCAACTCCATCCACCTGGATTTCTCCGCTCTGCCCACGGACGCGCTGGGTGCCAGCTTCTGGGTTCATAGTGGGGGCCGCAGGGGCAGCTAGGGCGGGTCCCGGGAAGCGAGGTAGGCGGACAGGGTCACGAGGGCGGCCGCATACATGCACACGCCCAGACTGACGGCGAGGACCCCCAGCAGGAAGGCCCGGCGGGAGGCGGCCCCTGCCCCCTGGAAGTCCCCCTTGGCCCAAGCCTTGTTGGTCTGTGGAGTAAGTGGGCAGCAGTGACCCAGGCATCCCCTCATTCCCATCCTGCTTCCCGTAGCCCCACCCCTTCTCCCCCAGCCCTCTCCCACCCTACCTAACCACATATTCCACAAACAGATACGGAGTACCTACTGTGGGTGAGGCACAGCTAGGCACTGGGATACTGGGCGACTGATAAAAATATGTATATACTGTATGACTATTTGGAGCCCTAGTGGTGCAGTGGTTAAGAGCACAGCTGCTAACCAAAAGGTCGGCAGTTCAAATCCACCAGCCGCTCCTTGGAAACCCTATGGGGCAGTTCTACTCTGTCCTATAGGGTTGCTATGAGTCGGAATCGACTCAACGGCAATGGGTTTAGTTTGGTTTTGGGTATTACTATTTGCCACTGTTCCAACTCGCTAGGTCTTCACAGTGCCCCTAAGAGGTAGGAATTATTTCCATTTCACAGATGAGGATAACGAAGCACACAGATGTTAAGTGGCTTGCCCAAAATCTCAAGAGTGGGAGACTGAAGATTTTAATCCAGGTTCTCAACGACCATGCTGGTCTGCCCTCCCACAAGACAAGCCTCATCCCTGAATGTTTGTATGCAAATCCTCTCCATCTTTTTTTCTCCCCAGGCGAGGTCCCTCTTTTTTTTTTAATGCATTTTTCTCTTTTATACCCAGTCCCCTACCCTGTTCCGTGCAAATATTTTTGTGTTCTTGCAAAGTGTGCACGTGAGGTGATTTTACTACAGAACATTTCAAACATCCACAAAAGTAAATAGGATACTATCATGAGCCCGCCATGTCTCCACCCCCGAGTTTCAGCAATGATCAATTTCACCTAAATCTCCACCCCCTTCACACACAGACTACTCCCCTAGGTAACTGAGAATGTGCACATGTATTGTTTTAATTGAGAAACAGTGTTAGCTTAGCGGTCTCATCCTCTTTCTCATTTTGTCCTCTCTGCACTGTTTTAAGATCCATCCTTACGGCCGGCGAACCTTCAGTCTGTTGCTTTTCCTGCTGCTTAGTACTCTCCATGGTTCATCCACCACATGTTCTTCCCACCACCCCCAGTGATGGAGACCAAACCCTCTGTCATGGATTGAATTGTGTCCCCCAAAAATATCTGTCAACTTGGGTAGGCCATGATTCCCAGTGTTGTGTGATTGTCTACTATTTTGTCATCTGATGTGATTTTCCTATGTGTTGTAAATCCTGCCTCTCTGATGTTAATGAGGCAAAATTAGAGGCAATTATGTTACTGAGGCAGGACTCAATCTACAAGATCAGGTTGTATCTTAAGTCAATCTCTTTTGAGATCTAAAAGAGAGAAGGAAGCAGAGAAACGGGGACCTCATACCACCAAGAAAGTAGTGCCAAGAGCAGAGCACATCCTTTGGACCCAGGGTCTTTGCACTGAGAAGCTCCTAGGCCAGGGGAAGATTGATGACAAGGACCTTCCTACAGAGCCGACAGAGAAAGCCTTCCCCTGGAGCTGGCACCCTGAATTCAGACTTCTAACCTACCAGACTGTGAGAGAATAAACTTATGTTTGTTAAAGCCATCCGCCTGTGGTATTTCTGTTATAGCAACACTAGGTAACTGAGATATCTTCCTTTCGTCTCTGCCAATACACTCAGCTCGTCTAACCACCACGTCCAAGAAGCCTCGCCACTGGTCTTCCTGCATCTGCCGGTCAAAGCTCGGTACCTAGTTGCTATTGTTAGCTGCTGTCGAGTTGGCCCCCAACTCTTGGCAACCCCTTGCACACTGCCCAGTCCTCTGCCATCCCCATGACTGGCTGCAGATCGGACCATTGCGATCCATGGGGTTTTCACTGGCTGATTTTCACAAGTAGATTGCCGGGCCTTTCTGGAAGCTCCACACAACCTGTTAAACATCATGGCAACATGCAAGCCTCCACTGAGAGACGGGTGGTAGCTGCTCGTGGAGTGCACTGGCCAGGAATCGAACCTGTGACTCCCTCACGGAAGGTGAGAATTCTACACTGAACCACCACGGCTTCGCTCAACTAGAATGATCTTGTAAAACTGCAGATCTGAATATGCCACCTCCCCCTCAAACCCCTCCTTAAACCGTTCCATAGCTCCCCAGTGCTCGTGGGAGGAAAAGACTAGGATCCCTAACTTGATCTAGACCAGCGCTGTCCAACAGAACTTTCTGTGATGATGAAAACATTCTCTCTCTGCGCTGCCCGATACGGTAGCCACCATGGTGCCATCTGTGGCTGTGGTGCATTTAAAACGTGGCTGCTCCGAAGCAGGATGTGCTGTAAGAGTAAAAAAATGCACATGGCGTTTCAAAGACTTGGTACAAAAAAGAGAATGTAAACTATCAATAATTTTTACGTTGATTACATGTTAAAATGATTATGTTTTGCATACACTAGGTTAAGCGAAATACATGGTAAAACCTGCAAAAGCCATAACCCTGTGTAAGGTGGAAACCTGTAAGAGAAGGAAAACTCACTGGGGGTTTATGACGTAGGCTTCTTAACAGAGAGCCTGTCAAAGGCGGAAAACTTGCGAGACTCGGGAAAACAAGGCAGTCCCATCAAGTTCTGCTCTCGAAGATTTCACTGTATTATTAAAATTAATTGCATCTGTTTCTTTTTAGTTTTTTTTTAATTGTGCTTTTGGTGAAAGTTTACAGAGCAAATTGGTTTCTCATTCAGCAATTTATACATAAACTGTTTTGTGACATTGGTTGCAGTCCCCACGATGTGTCGACACTCTCCCCTTCTCCACGCTGGGTTCCCTGTTTCCATTTGTCCTGTTTTCTTGTCCCTTCCTGCCTTTTCTGTCTTTGCTTTTGGGCAGGTGTTGCCCATTTGGTCTCATTTACATGACTGAGCTAAGAAGCACATTCCTCACAGTGTGTTATTGTTTCTTATGGACCTGTGTAATTTTTGGCTAAAGGGTGAACTTTGGGATTGACTTCAGTTCTGAATTAAGAGGGTGCTGGAAACCCTGGTGGCATAGTGGTTAAGAGCTACGGCTGCTAACCAAAAGGTCGGTAGTTAGAATCCACCAGACACTCCTTGGAAACTCTATGGGGCAGTTCTACTCTGTCCACTATGAGTTGGAATCGACTCGATGGCAGCAGGTTTGGTTTTTGTTTTGGGGGCCGTAGTCTTGGGGTCCCCCAGTCTCTAGCAGTTCTTGTCACTTTTTTAAATGGGCTTAGTAAAAAGTTTCAGATTACATATGTGGCTCATATTATATTTCTCTTAGTGCTAGTCGAGAGGGCCCTGCATTCACTCATTCATTCATGCTTGCTTGCTTGCAGGCATGCATTTCACAAATACTTGAGTGCCTACAACATGCCAGGCACCAGGGATTCCGTGATAAACAGGAGATGATCCTTGCCCTTGTGGCCCTCACATGATAGTAGGGGAGGGAAGCAGAGGAAACCCTAAATGAGGAACTAAGTACATAGATAATTCTAAGTAGTGGTCAATGCAGTGTAGCAAATAAAGGGTCAGAGAGTGATGGGGCGTGTGCTGCTTTAGTTATGGTCAAGGTAGAAGTGACAACTGAGCAAAAGCTGCCCACTGTGTGATGCACCTCACCCTCGCCTCGTTAACTCCTCCTGAGCCATCACATCTCAGCTTTAGCGTCGTTTCCTTGTGGAACCTTCCCTAACCTTCACAACTGGATAAAATCCCGCTACTAAATGCCCCCTTGCAACACACGGAGTCCCCGGGTGTTGCAAACGGTTAACACACCCAGCTGTGCTAACCTAAAGATTGAC